GTTAAGCTTGTTGATTTAATTCCTTTAGAACTTCATTCAATGGATGCTTATTTAAAAGCAATTAATACTTATACTCAATTACAATCTATTAAACAATATCTTAATTTATTTATTGTACCAGTTCCTGCAGATTTTCCTGGACAACTTTATATTCGTCGTGCTATTGTTCACAAATTAATGCTTGGTGATCAAACATCGATACCTGATGAAATTTTACGATTTATTCCTATGTTAGGACCACTACATGTATCTTTGAACTCACGTCAAACAACAGTATCAGTTTATCACAAATTTTTTAATAAACTTTTTAAATCAATTTGGAAAAAAAAAGAACTTGCAGTGAAACCTAAAGTATGGCGATCAGATTTATTACTTTACCTTGCTTATACAGGGTGGTTACGAATTAAGCCAACAATTATAACTCGTATGAATAATGTTAAAGATTTGGAATATAGAACATTTATAGATTTACTTGACAATATAATTCCTGCAACTCTTGACATATATGCAGTATTATTTCGGGCTGGAAAATGGACTGAATATCTTGAGACAATATTTCGTTTGTGGACAATTTTTTGTCGGTTTAAAAGAAAAAATTATGATAAGCTTCCTCTAGTATTTCTTTCTGATGTGTTTTTTTGGGATTCAATTAATCATCCAATTCTTACTACTTTGAAAATGCATCTTCCACTTTTTACTAATTACTATGTTGAAAATTTTCATAGCATTCTTCGACGACAAACATCTGGACAACGATTAGATGCAAACTCTCTTCGTGACAAAGCTTTATTTATTGATCATAATAGACATAAAAATATGTTTCGAGATGCTTTTGTCAAATCTACAAATTATCCATATACTCGGCATCAATTAAAACAATTAGAAGAAATGTCTGCTGAGTTTTTATTATCTCTGTTTATTGATATTCGAAATAAAGATGGTCAAAGTAAAATAACTTCTTCAAAAAAACGTTCTAAATGTTTTTTAGCAGCATTTAATGCAGATGTTGATATCAAATGGTTACCAACCGGGTATCATGTTTTAAAAAAACCTTCAAAAGACAAATTTTGTGATGCAACTAAATGTAAATTAAGCTTGTTAGAACCAGGCAAAGTATTGATATGCGGACATGCTTATCATATACGATGCCTTTATTTATTAAATAATACATGTCCATATTGCTTTAAATTTTATG